GGTCCATTGTCTGCATGATCATTTCCAAAGTTGAACCGTGGACGTGGTACATTCCCAAACGTTTTGCCGACTACGATGCCGGTAAAAAGATTTGTAAAAATAATGCGTATGCTTGATTGAGAAACTGAAAGAGAATGAGGGTGATGGGAATGTCCACGGTTCAACTTTGGAAATGATCATGCAGACAATGGATCCCGGACTTGGTGCGTTCCAATAAGTCTTCCTACCAATATGACCATGTTGCGGAAATAAGGTCAAATAACTTGGTTCGTCGACAATCCGACCACACAATGCGATATGGGGACATTCCTGGCCGTCCTTGGAATTCACATCTCCCCTGCGACCTTGGGGCGCTCGTGGCAATATGGCGTACTGATTCAAGTGTAGAGATTGTACGCTGAACTAGCATGGTTCGAGTCCGGCTGGAATGTTAGCGAGAACTAGGCGAGGGCGAAACTGCAGTCCATTCTGGATGAGAATAACCTTTGGGAAAGCAGGGCTATGTGAAATATAGTGGAAAATAAAACCACAAGTTCTCTTATCACCTTAAACGAAATAGGGTGAATCCACTTCTTATATACATGATTTTATGATAGTCTCGTAAACATACTTACAAACAAAACTAATAAGAATAAATTCGAATTATAATCTAATTTATGAAGTAACAAATTCTTTTCTGAATCCTTCTGATTTAGGCTTAAGCAATTCTGCCTGCAAAGATCAGACTGTAACTAGGCTTAAATTGAAGCCAAATTCGGGTGGACACGGGCCTCTGAACATACAATGATTCCCAAATAAAGTCAGTTATCACTTCGACATTGCTTGAAGATTATCATCGAAAAGTAGTCGCTTTGTGGATGGTAAACCTATGGTTGCCCATGAGCTATATTCTAATCATGTGCGCTGAATGGGGCTCCATGTTCTTTACCTGCAATTCAGCTATGAGATCCAAGAAGTGCCACCTTCAACTCTAGACTCCAAGTAGGCAATGGAAGCTAATGCATTTTGGGATAATAAGATATAATTAAGGTCAGTAAAGAATATTCGGGCTTTATTTGAAACCTGATGTTAGGTTAGTGTTTGTCCATTTTCGTGACCATATTTCACTATCGCTGTTCGATGCATGCGCGTATAATCCAGATTTCACAATAGGTTTCCGTGGTATAAGTCTATGTGTATACGAATAATTTGAAGGTTTCGTTGTACTGCAGCCATTTGGCTTTCATACGATATTCATTTCCACGCATTCAACAAGACTTCCTCCTTCGTTTCGAAAGGAATGAGATAATGAACCTGCGAGAATAAAAACAATCTACTCATAACCAACTAGGCTCTCTAAAAGTTCTCAAGACCCTGCCACTCAATTGTCTGTGCTAGTTGACAAAGAACCCCTAGGAGTACCTTGGAGACAGAAATCCTTCGAACCATCATCAAGCACGGCAGTGCATCAGGAAATATAGCGTGTATGTGTAAATATTAAGGTGTTGCTGGAGAAGAATATAACTTATTTTTGATATAGCTCTGTCTATTCAAGCCATCAAATGCAATTAGAAAAGATGCTATTTGGAATGACAATAAATCGAAACTATCACTAATTAAGAAAGCAAATAAGAAAGTTCATAACCTACTTAAACTGAATATAAGTAGTGTAGTCAATTTTAGTGGCAAATACAAGCGTGCTGAGTTCACTTTCATTTCGAGAAAAGTGATTACTTCTATTAACAAGGCGATTGTTCCTAAGAAATTTTATGACATAACTATGATTTATAGATATTTTCGCCGAAATATTCTAATTTTTTTTGAAGCAAATAAGCCTGGTGCAGTAGTCATCATGGGCAAGTTAAGTTGTGTATCTAGAAATAATGATCTATTTAAATGACTCACGAGCATACAAAGTTTTAGAGCAGAATTACACCGAAGATTTTAAGACCGGACTTGGAAAATCGCTTAAAGATTGTGCAAGCAACGGAGAATCGCAAAATTGGTGAATAAAATGACGCTATAGCGCTAATAATTTACGGTCTTTCAAAGATACATATAAAGAAATAACTTAAGGCTTGCCTGTTAATATTAAGGAAATTGTGATACATAAGAGATCACAATTATTATGTATACATTTGAAGAAAGTAGCTCAATATTAAAAATGTACGGTAAATAATTCATATAAGTTTGCTAAATTGGTGAATGAGCAAATTATTGAAGGGGACCTTTTGGCATATTTCGACGTGGTATCAATGTATGATGACCTCAAAGTTTAGAAGGCTGTTCGAGCACTAGCACTCAGTCTATACGAATACCCAGAAATTATCGAGGACAATGATCCTAGTCCTGAGACTATTTTATTTATACATGAGTAGCACATCATATCCAATAATTACATGCGAAGAATAAAGGAAAGAGCCACTGGAGAGGCAAATTTTACGGAAAAAATGTGGATGAACTATGGCAATTCAGCACCGTAGTAAGGATAGCTTTG